TATAGAAAATAATAAACAGAAACTAAATATTATTAAATATAAAATAAAAAATAATAATATCTAATTATTAATTATATTAATAAAATTTATGACTTGATTTATCAATTGGTGTTGCATTGATTCTTCAAATCTAAAGATTTTGAATTTGAGTCTTATTATATTTGTAAGAATGATTAACTTTTAATATTATTTTTTATTATTTAAAAATTTAAAAATAGAATCGTCTAAAAAATATATACGTTAAATAGGACAATCTCTTTTATTATATATATATATATTAATAATTACATTAATTATTAATTAAGAGATCAATTTAATTAAAATGTTAATTATAGAAAATAATTAATAATATATAATTGTTACTAATTATAAATGAAATAAATATCTATTTATATTTATAATTTATACACAAATTATAAGTTATCAGATAAAACATTGTCACATCAATATGATATTTAATGGTATATTATATACTATTTATTCGTTTTTTTATGATAAAGGAGCTAATATGATATTTATTGGTACATTATATTATTTATTCATTTTTTATGACAAAAGAGTTAACTGTAACTTTTTATTTTAAATTTAAAAATAAAAGTTAAGAGGTTTCATTATAGGTAAAGTAGCTTGATTTTAGAAAAATAATTAAAAGTAAATTGATGACTAATAATATTTTTTATTATAATTTTTTCTTCTCTAAATTTTCTTTTATACTTTTATTTTACATATTAATTAAAGAAAGCATCAAAGATTTTGAATTAAATAATTTTAATGAATGTATAGAAGAATCTTATATTATAGAAATTATATAATTTTTTATTTTTTTAATTAAATTATCTATAATTGCTCTACAAAGAAAATTGCACAATATAGAAAATATATATATATATATATATATATATATATATATATAATTTTTTTTAACTGAATTAGCTATAAATTGATTGGAAAGAGAAAATAAAATGAGAATTAATATATATATTTTGTCTATTAAATTTCAGGGAATTATTTTCAATGTTATATATTAAATATTTATTTTTTATTTGTAACTTTGTTTGTTATTTTTATATCTTTAATTTCAATTATTCTTTGATGCATAATTGACTTAATTTGAAAATTAGTGTAAATTTAAAATAGTCATAATACATTTCTTCCTTAATGACACATAATGGATCCAAAAAACTAAAATCACAACAAAATTTAATGTCTTACCAATTATCTTCTCCTAATTTGTCACAAATATATGTATGTTACAAATAGGCATGACAATCTAACACGTTTCCGTGGATACCCCGCCCGAATCTGCCCAATTTAGACGAGAAAAACTTGTGTTTACCGAGTTCGAGTTCAGGTTTTTTCCGATTGATAAAATCGAAAGTTGAAGTCAAAGGTTGATCAACATATTTTGTAATAAGTATTGACTTATCTATCATAGAAAGAACATTCTATGATGAATAAGTCAACACATGTCATAAAATATTTTGGCATATTTACAAGTATGCTCCTATTCAACTTTTTGTGTCATGTGGATAACACCCGACATAGAAAGTACATAAGGAAATCCTTTTTTTGTACTAGTGATATAGACTTAGTTAATGCATATTAATATTATGGTAGACTCACACTCAAGTTCTTATATTATTAACAATAATATTAGACTTTCCTAATTTAAGTGACGACATTCAAGAAACTATTCATGCATTAATATAAAGACTTTTAAGGCAAACTTGTGTTATATGACCTAGAAAAGAAAGGTCTTTCTATGTTGTTGGTTCTATAAGATTAAGCTACTTAAACTACTCACATGTATTGTTAAAGATCACTTAAGTTAAAATGTCTGACGACACATAAAAATGTTGTGTTGTTTACTTTGTTACCAAGTTTACTATTTAGATGAGATGTACAATTGTGTTGTTGAGTTGTCTACCTTATATTAAGTAGTTGACTTGAACTCTTGAGTTGTGGGTTGTCTATCTAAGTTGATATATGTGTTGTTTTCTGCGAAGTTGATATGATGAGAGTTGTTCATGTTGATATAGATAATTGTTGTTTTCTATTATATATGTTATTTTCTTGCTACACATAACTTTACATTTGTTTTTTCAAGTATTGGATTAAGATGATCATACTGTGTTTTAAAGCATATCAAGATTATTAGGTAGATGACAAGGTCCCAAATGATGGCATTTTGTGGTGAAGTTGTTTTGACACACACAAAAGCTGCATATATATTTAAGAATTTTGCATAATAGCTCCAGGTTAATTAATGTTATGTTTTCCACTACGACACTTTGATGTTTCCATTGTCATAAGTGTGATGAGTTGACTGATTGTTACACATCTAATTTATAAAAATTGCTTTTGAATACACACGATGCGCAAAACATATAAACATTTTAGTTGACAAATGTAGTACTACTCCATAAATATAACTAAATTTCAGAAATAAATACTTCTTACCATTGAATGTATGAATTCTAAAATCAATAATATCACACCCACAGCTTTTTAAATTAATACATCCACATTCCATAGCTTCGTGGATATCTAATAACAAGATGGAAAATTTAGAGTAGATGAGGAGGAAAATATACCATATGATACATGAGATCATGATAGATGAGTCTAAATAGTAAACTCAACGGCAAGAAAGGGAACACAACATAATAAGGTATTAATTAAATAGTTAATACCTTATTATGATGAGCTAATTATAGTAAGATAGAAAATTTAGACCATTAATATTGGGAAGAGAAAAGGAGAATTTCCGTGATTACGCATAAAGGAATGATGCTATAGTTGACTTCTCTCTTTCGTTTGTCTCAATGTTCAGTATTGGAATGGAGACAACCAATATATCTTCAAAGAAAAAAAAAAAAAAAAAACACTCTTCCGTAACAACCAACTGATTCACACCTACATTAGCAACACCAGACACAACAGGGGAAAAAAACGCCTTCCACACAAACAAAAACTATACAATTTCCACCATCATATTAATTAAATTATATTAATACAAAAATTAAAGCATATTAATTACAAGGAAAAAAGAAAAAGGCATTGATTAATGGAAGAAATTTATTTAAAATAGATTTTTTAGTCTTCATATTTCTGTTTTTTTAATTATTTTTAATTTTTATCATTATTTTTTTTAACATTATCTCTTTTGTAACCTTTTAAATTTAAAAATCTATATTACGTCAATACAAAATAAACGATATTAAAGAATTATAAAATTATAAGTATAGAAATTAAAAATATATATCTTAAATTACAGAGACTAAATTTTTTTAAAAAAAAATATAAAAACTAAATGAAGAGTAAATGTGCAATTATATGAACTAAAAAATATTTTAATCTTTATAATTTTACACGAACATTTATAAAAGTTCTCACCAACAGAAAAACAAAAGAAATACGTCAATAGTAAATTACAATTTCTTCTTTACATTTTATATTATTATTTATCTTCTTGGGTAAAATTTTGTTGACTAATAAAAAATAGTTATTGATTAATTATTTATAATTAATCTTATTTGATAAATAATTCACAGTTAATTTATTTAATCTAAAACCATTTTTTATATATAATTTAATTATATAAATATTTATTCTTATATCATATAAACTCAATAACATTATTTTGATCTCCCTCCAACAATAAAAACTCTACATGGTCCGTTCTCAGAACCACCATTGACCACACTGTAACAACCAACAAAACTCGAAGTAACAATAGGCAGAAACTTAAATAGAAAACAAAGCTAAAACTTAAAACACTAGACATTGAGAGGGATGGATCGATCTTGGTTGCATTCAGTAACTTGCTTCACCATTCTCGGACCGAAACTTGTAAACCTCGGGATCCTTGAAGGTGGAGACGGTGAGCTTAACGTCCTCTCCGGCGACGACTCTGCCGCGGACGACGCCGCCGAAGATCTGGCCCTCGGGGTTGCTGAGGTTCACTCCGAAGTCCATGCGAGGGGGAGGAGAGTCTCCATCTCCGCCGCCGTAAACGAAGGTGCCGCTGAAGGAGACCAGCGAGAAGGGTCCATGGAGCGTGAAGGTGGTGGAGCCACGCGGCGCGTGCTGGAGGGTGACGCTGGCGCCGGCGCCGCTGCCGTTGAGGATGGTCACGCTCACCTGCTCGCGTTGAGCCAACTCCACGATGGACTCGATCACGTCTGCGCCCTGGGGCACGTCGATGAGGACGAACTTGGCGGACTCGTCGGCGGCGGCGGGCTTGGTTGTGGGGAGGGCGTTGGGCTTGGGCTTGTTTTTGGAGCCCGCGGGCCTGCCGCGCTGCCTCTTTCCGGCGGGTGGCGTGAGTTGGTGCTGGAACAAGGCGAGGGAGTCGGAGTCCGAGGAGGAGAGGGACATCATGGGAATGGTGTTCATTGTGACAAGCAATTAGTGATGTTATGAAATGCTTTTACGTGAAGATGGTGAGAGTGAGATACTTGTGATTGTGATGGTGTGAGGAGGATTAATTTATAGTGTCAAGTTTAGTTCCTTAGCATGAGAGACATTGTATGAGGAAGGTTTTTCTATCATGGAAACAATGGGTGGCGGTTTGAGATGTTAATTAAAGTGGCTTTTCTTTACATAAAGCAACAGAATTTGCGGAATCTTTTTCCTTTGAAAAGAGGGAATATACTTTAAGATTGGGTTTGGTCAAATTTTTTTAAATTGTTTAATGAAAAGTTATGAATAAATTTATCTAATATGTGAGAGTTACCGTACAGTTACAAGTACACTTGTCATCATTAAAGTACAGTACTTGTCATAAGAAACTCAATATATTTATGGTTTATTATTTTTATCTATTACTTTTAGTCATCTATTTAATTACGTCACAGCTGTCTACGGTTATTAATTGAAAAGCTAAATTCAATTAGACGCGTGTTATTATGTGAATTTATTTAATAATAAAATAGTAATTTGATAAAACAATACGTGTCATGAAAAATATAGTTTAATGAAACACTTGTTATTAAAGTTTAAATATATTTTTGTTTATGTAATTTATCGCCATTTTGCTTTTAGTTTTCGTAAGTTTTTTTATTATTTCATTTGTAATATTTTATAATGTTTCAAAAATAATTATTATTGTCAATTTTTGTTAAAAAAAATCTCATATCAAACAAAATATATATTATATTCATTATATTTCATCTCATTATTGACATATAAGTTTAAACAGAATTTCAAAATGCACTTCACCGCATCTAAACTTTCCCTCAACCTTACGATTAAGTTTTCCCTCTTGATTTAAATCTGACGTTGCAAACCCTAAACCTTCTAATCTCAATCTCAATCCCTAAGACAAGGTATAACTTCTCACAATCTATGATCTTGACAAAGGCATCGAGTTCATCCTCAACAATCATTGTCTTTACGAGGACTCCATTGGCCACCAACTTAACATGGAGGAGTTTGAGTTCACGCTTGGATGCTCTTACATTATGCAAGAGCTCATGGCTTCCAGAACATCTACCACTCTATTGGCATCACCGCCAATGCCGCCTACTCCAAGGCCAAGAAGAATTATGTTAGTTAGCTCAAGATAACAAGACTGTCACCACCTATTGTGATAGTTGCAACAACAATGAGCGGGACACCTCATCGGAGAAGGAAGATCAATGGTCTAGCTTGACCATTGGCAACAACCATGATGTGACATTCTGTGGCCTGGAGAGGGTGCACATGAAGAGTATTATGATGTAGCAATAGTAAAGTGCTTTCTAAATTTGTCTAAAACAATTTAAAATTAGTTTACATGCATGATAATGATGAAGTGAAGTATATATAACAAATATAATATGTATTTCGTTTGTCACGTAGGTTTTTTTTTTAAATGGGAGTTGATGGTAGAAACTATTTTTGAAATGTTATAAAAGATTAAAGATGAAACAACAAAAAAAATAAATTATAAGGATTAAAAGTGAAAAAGTGATAAATTAAAATAATGAAAATTATATTTAAACTTATTATTAATTACAAGAATTTATATGAATTTAATTCAATAATGAAATGTATGTTAGAAAAATATGACTTAAATGGTGTAGGTTAAACTTTTTTTTTTTATTGAATTGGAGTAAATATATGATGAGAAAATAGTTATAATACAATTGAGTTAGGTAAATAAAGGTTTTTGAATATAGTTTAAATTTTTTTCATCTCATTTATTAATAAAATTAATAATTAAAATTTATAAGTAAAGTTATCTAATAAATAATTTATATTATAAATATAATTGAAATAAAAAAAATAGTGCAATATTCAACATCACATTATTTTTTTCGAGTTAATAATCATACATAAGTAGAGTATGTATATGAGACTGAGCATGAGAGAGGAAACTTAATGCTTCAATTGGTGTTTTGGGGATCTTTCTCTAATAGTGTGATATCAGGGCTACAAAAATTTGTTATGTTTTTTTAGTTATAGATGGAGTTAATTTGCTTAATGATGTTTTTTTTTTTTTTACCGTTTGTGCCTAGATTTTTGAACTTATAATTTTGTTTAGTTTCCCTTTTACGTTAAAGAGTTTTTCTAAACTACATGTGAACCACTTTACCATGTTAATTAAATTAGTTATTTTATATTACCTCTTTATTAAATGTATCTTCTTAATAATTTTTAAAATAAACGCTTTAGGCATAGGGGTAGAAAGGTGGCAAAGATGATGTGAAATTGAATATTGCATAGTTTGTTGTGTTGATAATGTTGTATTGGAGTCCATGCATACATGCATAATTTTTTTGGGAGGTGGTGTGAATCTATGAAGGAGAGTATCTATGGTTTTCTACCTTGACCTTGTTGGAGGCATTATGGTAAGGAGCTTCTAAGGAGTGTGAGAGGTAACCATGGCTGATTGTAATGCTTCGAGTGCATCTTATTGATTTCCCTTAATCGAGAGTGGATTGAAAAGGTCACCAAGAGTGCGATGATATGCTCCATTTGCTCCTAAGTTTCCTTGTATCAGGGTGCCTTTTGGCAATGTTAGAGATGGTACCATGTGCATATACAGTTAGGAGCATGAGTTGATTGAGTCATTAAATAGCAATATGATGCGTTACAATATGTTGCCTTATACCTTATATGTGTTATACATGGGTGACATATATTCACACTCCTCTTGTGTTTGTTTTGTTGTTTTCTTGTTTGGATTGATTTTCATGAAGAAGTAGACTAGGTATATAAGGTCGAGCGTGATGGAGAGATAAAGCTTAATGTTGCGGTTTGATTTATGGATCTTCCTTTAATAGTGTGGCATCAGAGTTAAAGCACATCATATTATTTTCTTTAATTATAGCTTGGATTTAGAATTTATTTTTTGATGTTATTTTATTTTGAGATTTTGTAAAAGAACGGTTTGTGTCTTCATTTATAAACTCTTGTTATGATTATTTCTTTTTTTACTTCAAGGATGTAATTAAACATGTGAATCCATTTATTGTACGTAATAATGAAGTTGTTTTATATTATCTTTTCTAATTAAATATATTTTCTTAATAAAAACTTTATAATAAACACTTTGGGGTAGAATGGTGTTACACTTACCATGCTAGGCTATACTAGGGGTGAAAATAGGCTAGCAAGGCTAGGCTTTGGAGATCTTAAGCCTTACTGAAAACAATTCCAAGTTTGATTATGACACGTTTACTTGTTGTAAATCCAATTTTAAGACTTAACTTGACATTATCTAGCTCTGGGCGTGAAATTAATTGCACTGAGGACAAGGCAGCTCAACTCCTTCGTCACATATCTCATGAACATGGTATCTAAAATCAACTTTGGATTTTGCATAGAAGTCTTGAAAGTCATTCCACAAATGACTATTTCTTACTTTATCCTATAATCAATTTTCGACAGCCCCAAAAAATTGTTGAAAAATTAAAATTACTTAACGAAACTATACAAAACTTTTTAACATATTTTATTCTCACTTGCATATTTTTTAAATTTTTTTTAAAAAAAGTCATTTATCTTTAAATTATTCCAAATCAAACACATACTTACCTATAAAAATTATTAAGTAATAAGCTACACGATAAATATAATTTAATTGAGAAATTAATTAATACTATATATCATTGCAAAGTAATACTCTATATCAAACACGTTTATATGTAGAGTTATTAATTGATGAGCTACATGATAAACATAACTAATCTTTGAAAAATTAATTAATACTGCATATATCTACCGGAGTAAGAATCCTAAAATTAATAATATCATATCTACATATTGTCAAATTCTTTCTCATCCACATTCCACATGTGCATAGGTAATAAGTAATAAGATAGATAATTTAGACCATGAACGGAAATATCTAAAAAAAATATGAGTGTGAACAGCCAACTCAGTGGTAAGAAAGGTAATACAACTTAATAAAGTATTAATTAAAGAATTCATAAAATAAATATAGAATTTAAGATTTATGAAAAGCATGACTCTTTAACGGGGCAATACAACTTAATAAAGTATTAATTAAAGAATTAATTCATAAAATAATATAGAATTTAAGATTTATGAAAAGCATGACTGTTTAACGGAAATGATCTATATGGATCATCAATACAGAAAAGTGAAAAGTTAGAATTTCCTTTAGCATAGTATAGTGTAGTTATTCCGGACACAGTGTGTCCGGACTGTTATAAAAATATAATAATATATAATAATTATATTACAAATAATAATAATAATAATATATTTAATTAATTTTTATTTATATATATTTACTTTTATAATTAAAAATCTACTTATTTTTATTTTAAATTATAATTTAAATTATTTATTTTATAATTTATAATGATAATATAATTTATAAAATTATAAGTATTTATTTATTACATACTTATAAATTAAA